AACAAATATATATCTGAGGATATATGGCTGGATATATGGCTACTCATAGGGGGGGGGGGAAAAATGTACGGCTCATGAAAAATTTACAAATAATGCTTATACATAAGATTATACGTAAAATGACACAATAACTTATAAAATGCGTTTATAAAGTTTTATTAAGGAATAAGAATGATAAATATGTATACGAAGTAATAAATAATAATTACAATCTTTCTACATATATTACAAGTATTACGACATGAGGTACATATTTCATGTAATGCGTTGATTACATTTAATGCACTGAATTCAATCTGCGCACTTTGTATGCTTTGGGCATAAATCCCACCCGCTAAAAAAATGCCGCATATCCCAAACAGATGGGATATATACAAGACAACAAATTAAACAAAGAATACGAAAGCAAAGCACTTGTATATTGCTATATAACATGCTTTATTATTCCTCTACACGTATGTATCACGAAATAACTAAGTTTTTTACACGCCCTACAGTAATCATTTTATGTAGATTATAATTTATGATGGCGCTACTTATTACAATGACAAATCGATTCAACTTGCAATAATTTCATTAATATTAACAGTAAGAAGCTGAAATCATAACACAATACTAATATAACATAAAGGCATGTAACAGAGTAGTTGCGGGAAAATTACCCCCACTCCTTTTATTTTTTCTAACTTTTGCGGCGTAAATCCCAGCGCAGCATATTTGCCGGAGTTATCCTATAATTATATGATAGACAAAACAAAGAAGAATGCTGTATAATGAAGTTTCAGGAATAATTTCAATTTTAATGCGGTTTATAAAATAAAAGAACTTGTAAACTTGGATGTTACATAATATATGTTTTAAAAATGGAATAATTGTAATTTAATTAAGAAACAGCTCAAATAATTTAAAATTAAAACAAATCAAAGAAAAAGCTACAAACCACTAGATCTTTAATGCTAAAATTATTATAAACAATAAAATATAATTTCATACAACAGACATTTCGATCCCGATCAGGTCATTCTCAATGTTGCCACTCAATACAGTTTTAAAAATTCACAGTTACATAATGTAAAATGTAATTGAAATAATTACATTAATCGACAAAAATAATTCGAAATATACTAGTTCTTATATCTGAATTAGTTCGTAGTTGTTTCTTGAATGTTGATAAGTTTGTGTTGTGGTAAGTTTAACACTTTGACTGCCACACAAATTTTTATAATCGGTTCCCTCTGGCACACTATTATTTCTACTTTCATAAAATAAATATAAATTAATATATTAATTAAAATTTCATGCTTTTTAGAAATAGCTATGAAATATATGTATTCAAATTGATACACGTGGCGTCTTGGATCTATATAAGATATGTATTTAATTGGATACAAATGACAATCAGTGTTAAATAAAATGTTGGGCATTAATCACAAATTGCTTTATAGCAATTAATAAAGCCATTTTGCTTTTTGCTTTTGCTATCTATGGCAGTTGTCATACATCTTTTTTATAATAATATTTTCGTAATTACATCACTTTTAAAATATCGATCATTCTCTTCTGAAACCGCTTGTATAAAAACGCAGATATTACACAAGATTTCACTTTTCTTCTCATTCTTTCACTTTCATTTACCTAAGAATATGAGTCTGAGCACAAGAATTGTCGTAACGGTCGTAACGTTTACTTATGCGGGATTTGCAATAGAAGTTGTAGCGGTCGTAGAGTCTCAAGTCGTAGAAAATTAACCAATCACAATCAAATATGAGAAGAATAATCGACTCTGATTGCTCAATTTTCTACTACTTAAGACCCTACGACTTCTATTATAGATCCCGCATTAGTGACTTAAGTTGTAGACGTAAGTAACGCATAAGCTTTAACGTATGACGAACGACTTATTGCCATCTCTTGGAAACACGGCAATAAGTCGTATGCCAAAGCTTGTGCGTTACTTACGTCTACAACTTAAGTCTCTAATGGCGAATTCGATTGGAAACACTAGTGCGCACTGGTGCATATTAAACCCATTGTACACTGATTTAATTTGAGTATAAAAATGAAATGCAAATATTTCGAATTATGAAATACATATTTTATCTAATAGTACAATAAAATGTATTGAGTATTTCACAATTTAATCGATTTCTATATTTATTTATAAACATATCTTTACGTTATTTTGTGTACGACGACTTTAATGTGCACCGAGTGCGTCCAATCGAATTCGCTACAAGTAAGCATTACGATCGTTACGAGAATTCTTATGCTCAGACCCTTCCATTCGCTGATTCGAAGAATAACGCATGAAAAGAGCTGATTATCCGATGTTATCGATATTTCCGCTCAAAAACTCTTCCCGATCGTTTATGTATATTTGAATAGCTAATTAATATATTCATTTATTTATATGCGTATTATAACATGCAATAACAAATAGAATAATAGCATACATTGGATTCGCAAAATTACTTATGACAAAATTGCAATGTATAATGGAAATGTAAAGCTTCGTGTATTTCCGATGGAATCATGTAAATGATTATTACAAATAGATGCGGCTTGAAAAGCATGATTATATGATACCAAATTTTAGTGGAATTTACATAGTTTTAAAAGTTATCAATACGTTCTTGATCAAATTTTTATGTTAACAACGATTTCTACAAATTTTTAATATTTTAATCAGCAATTATTAAATAAAACTATACGAGTTACCTATTCATTTATAATTTTATTAAAATTTTCACAAATTTAAAATGATAATAATTATAATTCGTAATAACTACAAAAATATTTAAGTCGGTTATTGGCAAAGAAATTTCAAGCACAATAATTACTTTCTCTTTAAATATTAATTAATTTTAGGCATGTTACTATTGTTTTAAACTTTTGTTAAACGGTAAAATTAATTTAGATACGATGGATAACTCCAGTTGCTGACAAATTTGATGAATAATTCCAGTTGCCGACGAATGTTACTTTATCGATTCAAAGAGGTGGCTCTCGATTTTAACACTAGTTAGCGTCTTTTTCCAGCGTCATTCACATAATGTATCTACATATAATCTTTAAAAATAAAATATTATTTTCGTAAAATTTTTCAAGAAGATTAGATCTATTTAATTATAAAAAATTGATTATAAAAGATATTATGAAAAACGTATTTTTATTGAAATATAAGATATTATATTTTTAGGAAATAGATTGCTATGCCATCTTAAGGAATATACTTCAAACTGATCATCCTATATATCGACATAGCAACTTCTTTAATTTTTAAATCGATCGATTTATGAATCAAAGGCACACTCGAAGAAAATCTATTACATGTGTAGGAAAAAGAGAAAGAAAAAAGTATTAATATCTGATTATGAATGATATGTCTATCTAATTAATAAATATATTTTAGATATATAAGTTTAACAAAAAAAAAAATACGAAATTAACAAATGATCGCTTTTAATTATTTTACATCAATCTCTTTCCTATTTGCATACCATTTGTACGAGAAATTAATGAGAAATTAGACACGATTTCACATTACAGCGATTAAATTTTACATGAAATCTGCATTCATTCATTTAATATATTGCACGCTATTCTGCAGCTTTACAGATTTAAATATTTTAGTTCGCGTATATGTATAAACGAAGTTAATTGTTATGTTAGCAATTGTATCGTCTCATGAACGAATCAGCGAGAAACTGAGTATCGGAATTGAAGGATCAACTGAATGGCAGTGTCAACGAGGTCGTCTAAAGTCTTCAAAGGCCATGGCTAATTGATAAGAATGTTTTAAAGAGCATTCGTAATTCGCTTCGGACAGAATGGCGACGTTTCGTTTGACGTCGTCATTTTCGACCTAGCAGACAGTGCCTCGTATATCTATAATACGTATTATCTCGTTCTCGTGCGTGCCTCCAACGATTACGCGAGATTTCTAGTTTGCTCCAATCAGCCCGTCGTCTTCACCGATCCGATTGGCCTGTGCGTTAACAAAATGTTATTTTAGATCCTCGCGTTAGTTGTATCTTTGCTTAGCCTTTGAATAGAGACACGCAGACACTCGTTGCGAGTTAGATCAGATTGTTATTCTGACGTGTGTTCTGTGATCTTGATAAGCCTCTACGTTCGTTAATCCGGAGAGAATTTTTCACCAAACTAACTAATCTTGGAAGTAGGATATATTAAAATATTGCTAAAATCCATGGCTACACACGGAAAGAACAGTTTAGCTCAAGTATTTAAAAATTTAACATTCGTGATCACAATACCACACATTGTACTTACGAGGTTTATATAATTAAAGACACACTTCGTTTCATTTTAAATTATTTACGTACCATGAACGCGTTTTCTTACAGCTCTATCTCTAATTATTAATTGTTATTTTATATTTGAAAGTCCTTATACTTTAATTTCCTCTAAAAATTTAACTAGTTATAGATCTGAACATCATTTTTGGATTATTATATTTAAGTTTCCTACATAGTTATTTCGATGTCCAACAAAATTATTTTCAGATTTATATCTAAATTTTTTAATACTTTTTAGATACTACAGTAAAATCGTGCTTTTTATGTATTTTTAAGTAAGTAAATTTTGCTTTCTATTTTTATTCTTTCGTGTCGTAGATAAGACGTGATATTTAAAAACAGTGCAAGTGCCATTTCGCCCACCGAAAAAATCAACTTATCCAATAAATCGACTACGCAAATATGAAAAGAATAATTTTGTTGAAACATCTACAAATTTTACTATATACATATCTAAAAATATTTTTGTTCGATATCCAGAATGCTCGAGCTAATTACTAGAACGTTAAAACTCTTTGGAGCATTGTTCATCATGTTCTTGAGCGTCCTACAAAATTATCTTAATGATTCAATAAAATTATTTTCAGATCTGTGTGTCAAACTAAATTTTTAAATGCATTCAACAAAACCGTTCTTCTCTCATGAAATGCCAGGAACTCGGTACACTCGGTATAGCGCGCACTCGTCAGTCCGGATCGGACAAATTGGTCGGCTTCCGCAATCGTAATGGCCCTTTTCTCCACGCACATCTCGTATCCTTGCGACGACGGTCATCATTCTACGACGTATTATCAAGCGATCACGATATTACACGTTTCACGTGCGGCGCGTATGTGATTTACAGCCCACAGCGCAGCGGCGTAGAGTCCAAGTCCGGTGTATATCGGAACACCGAATACTAGTTTTCCTTCGCGTCTATATTAACGGATGCACGCGGTACATGTGTGTTGCGTGCGTGCGTGCGAAGAGGGGACCCCACGAGGAAAGGACCCTGTTAGTCCCCCCCGTAGTAGGTTCGTGGACGACGACGGGAAGGGGGTGGCAGGGGTTTCTGTATCGGGGAGACTACGATAACGCAGGCTTGCCCCGTCTAATTATTCGTGTTTACCCGCAGAGGTTGCGAAGAAGAAGCGCGGTCAGAAGCGGAGCGGAGCGGAACGGAGCGGACGTCGGGGCACGGCGTGCAGCTCAGGACGACATCGGGAGCGAGGAAAGGATGGCTGGCCGTCTTCGAGCCACGGCCAGGATGCTCGCCGTCTGCCTGGTCTACCTTTGGACGCTCCTCGGTGAGTTACTCGGCGGTCCCTATGCTCGTCTCTCTCCCTCTGCCTTTCCTTTCCGCGCTCCCACCCTGTCCGTGCGAGCTACCCCCCTTGCACCGTGCTCCTCTTGGTGACTCCTCGTTCCCCGATCTCCCCAAAGTCATTCATTGAAAAATGCGCCGTACGAGCCGGCCGGAACATGGCCGACCATTGATATACCGCATTGTTGCTTCGGTAAATTTTAGAGCAATCGGCCCAACATTCTTTCACGGAGAGATAAGATAAAAATATACTTAGAAAAATTTCTACTTGAAAATAAACGAACCAGAAGATTTCGATCGTAGAAAAAATTCCAGTCGTCGTAATTGAACTGGTTATCTCGATTAGAATTTTGATTGATATTACGAAAATCTTCTGGTTCGTCCACACACACTTTCAACTAGAATTTTTTTCAGTATAGAATTTCGTATTGCTTGTGCAATTTCAAAATCTATATAAAAATAAAGTGCGTCTATTTGATTGTATATTAAATCCGCTTTGAACATAATTCTTTTTTAAAAAATAGGAGCTCATAACATAAAAATATATATTTACGATAAACTACATAATGCGTATCGTATCAAGAGATACGATAAGTACTAAAATTAACAACGATATCAGTAATCCTATGTAAAGAACTTGTAAAACTATACTTAGATATATGTCTCGATAGGCAAATGTCCTATAAATAATCTCTCGAAGGAACATTATTTCACGTCAACTAAAAAAATTTACACTATAAAACACATTTTATACTTCTTCCTTTTGTTTCTTTTTTACTTTGCTTTGTCATTTGTTTCTTTTTCTTTGCGAGATATTATCCCCCTTAACACTATGTTTTATTGAACACCCTATATATATAACAATCTACATTTCTGAACACCCTGTACAATATAATCTACATTTCTCGATGAGAAATACGAGAGGGACTATTTTTTTTTGTTTTTGTTTTTACAGGTTCGTACTGTCAAATGGCACCAGGTGATTATTCTCATCGTCAAAAATCGAGAACTGTTTATAGTTCATATAAAAAGAATACGTGCAAGCCAGTAAAAATTCGTTCGATTATTTCACGCAGCAATCGGTCGAAGCGTTACATAAAGAAAAAAAAAAGTAAAAAAGAGAACACATACGTATAACGCCCATTCTCGCTTGTCGTGTAACAGGGACTCCGCGCAAATTAACGGTACTCCGTTTAACATATACGCGCATATGTACACACACTCACACATACACGTACACATTTACATACACGTACGGTACGTATCGTGTGTCTCTTCTCCGATCGTCTCGAGAGAGGAGCGATCCTCGTCGTCTGGCGTTACCGTTGTCAGTCGACGCGCGACTCGCAGTCGGTGACGTCGTCGAGCATTCGGTCCATATGCATACATTTGCGTGTGCACGCATACAACATATCTACCTCAAAAGCCTACGATGAATTTTCGCGCGATAACGAGTAATTACTGGAAATTATGCGTCATACTTGCAGCCGTGGCTGGTGGCACCAAGGGTTGGCAAGTAGGAAACGGTCACAAATACAAGCTGACGAACACGCTGATCTTTAGAGAGACCGAATCATCGAAACCTACGGGTGACGTCGGTTTCAGATTGACCGGCGAGCTGGACATCACTGCCCTATGGCAGGATTTTAACGATCCCAATATCTTTTTACTTAAATTCGAGGTATGATACATTTCGTCATTATTTAGTTATTTTCAAATATCGCGAATTTCTTCAATGATGTTACTTGTCACAAATATAAAAAATATATAATTGAATCATAATTTACGTAAATTGAATCATAATTTAAATCTTTTTTTATTTATTTCAATTTTGATTTTAAAGACGGATAAAAAATTAATCAATACTATTTCTATATTTTTCTACAAAATTTATTTTAATTATAAATAATTTTAAAATAATACAAATATTAATTTTTCAGAAGTAAGTGTTACATAACTTTCTTATTAACAAAAGTTGTCTTTTAATTACTGAACTTATGTACTTTTATGCAATTTTATTTAATGAGTTACTTATATATGTATTTATATACAGTTTAGACACCTGAAGTGAAAAACTACTTTCAGTAAATTTTCGTAAAAAATGTAAACGTAAAAAAACTAATATATTTTATTAAAATTATATAATTTCGTCACATACGCAAATTTATTTTCAAAATTTTATTAATTGTAAAACTATCCAAATTTTATCAAAATATATTGGACTAAAGGAAAAATTCTGCTATATTTTGTTAGCTTAAAATTATATATACAATATCTTCGTTAAAAATGATCAAATTTTAAAATTAAAAAAGGGTTTTAAAGCTTGAAGTCTCTACTTTCGAATGGTTACTATATTTTTTTAATTTGTATGAGTTTTGTAATTTTTATATATAGAAAACTACGAGCTGAAAAAAGGAAAATTTTTTCTAATTTTATGAGTCCGTCACGTGCCAAAAAAGTTTACGAAAATTTTTGACTATCTATATCGTGAAAGTTTGAAGTTTTCCTTACAAAATCGTTTTTTAAAAATGTTTCTACGATTTTTTATTCTTGAGTTATTCGCGAGTTAAATAAAAAGGAGCGTTCTGACTTTGATTGCTCATAACTCATTAAAAATCATCGCACTGTTTTATTATTTAATTAAAAAAAAACATTCTTAAAATTGAAACGTTGTTCTATCGAATAGTATCATGCTAATTTTTTAAAAATAAAATATATAGAAATTTGAATTAAAAATGTGATATTACTATTCTTTTAACCATTACGCAATGGAAAAAAGGACAGTAATATCGTGTTTTTAGCTCAAATGTACATATACTCTATTTTTTTTTAAATTGGCAATTACACCACACATTTGATAGAGCAACGTTTCAGCTTTAAGAATCTGTTTTACTTTAATTACAGTACGATGATTTTTAACGGAGTTATGAGCAATCAAAATCAGAATGTTCTTTTATTTAATCCGCGTGTAACTTGATAACAAAAAAGTCGTAGAAACATTTTTTAAATACGAACTTTTAGGAAAAACTTTAAGCTTTCACATCAGATAGTCGAAAATTTTGCAACAAATATATTCTGTATATAATTTTGAGTTAACAAAATTTCGTAGAACTTTTTCTCCAACCTAATATTTTATTACATTTATTTTAATCGATATGTTAATAAATAACAACATTTTTTGATACGATAATAATATAGTATCATATCCATTTTTTTAAGTTACTTGTATCAAAGATTTACAGAGGAATTATTTAAAATAATATAACAGTTAATTATATTACATCCGTATGAACATATTCTTTCTTTGTTCTGTACGTGTTGTAATTGGAATTTCATAATCAATTAACACAGGAATTCAAAACCAGATAAGTGATTGATTCGGCATACATATTTTCATTGTTAAGAAACAAAACACCTATATAACTTACGAGAAAATTTTAATGCCATAAAAAGCACGCTCATTGATACTGAGAAAGGTCATGTCGAGTTACATTGATTACATTGAATGTCGATAATTCTTTATCTGAGAGATGAAATATTTCTTCGATTTACAAAATCTTGAAGATGAGAGCCTTGAAAATAATTTATAATATTAAATATAATTTTGTATAATATTATAGTAATTATAAAATATTATATGTTATATGATATTAAATTAAACATAATATTATAAAATATCTATTAATTAATTAAATCTATTAATTAAATAAATTAGTGACAAACTTTTCAGCTAGTATAACATTGATCCAAAAAATTTTAAAAGAGTTAAAGCTTTTTTGGAAGTTCAAAAAAAACTTTTTTAATATATTAATATATTAAAAAAAGTTATGTTATTCCTTATTGTTCAAATTCCTTGTCTGTGTTGATGTTATTCCTTGTTGTTCAAATATTCTATGAAATGTGTGTTATTTTTGTATAACATATTAATAAATCCTTTCATTAACAACTGAATAACTATAAAACCTCAACGGTCTAAATTACGTCTTTAATGCATAAATAATAAGATTTTTTTATGCGAATTTATATACATATTCCGTTCTGTAAACAGCGTACCGAAATTATTTTGAGTCTTGAAATAACATTTCCATCGAGTGCAACGTTATCGTCAGATTGTCGGTAGAAATTAAATAGGAGCTGCGTCTTCATTGAATGTAATAATTGTCGCTAATTAGCGGCAATTATTGTATTCAGTGATATTAAAGATTCTGCTTGATTTATACTATGCAGTATAATATGCAGAAATTGAATCAGGTCACTAGCAGATTATCCCTAGTGTGAAATCAACAATTTAATAAGGAATCTCGATAGAATCTCGATGAATAAGCTCTATGATAAGGACCTGATCATTCGGCTCTATCAGGTTACTATCGGAAAATTGCATTATATTTATGAGGCTCATATCAGGATTCCTTATCAGGACCCGACTGTACATTAGGGATGACTTGATAGGGGCCTTTATTGCATCCTGATTCAATTTCTGCTCAGGTTATTGATTAATGCAAAACATAATTATTATATAGCAACATATATTATAGTTCAAATGATATTAATTTAACACAATTGTGTGTTAAAATAAGTAAGATATTTTTTACATATTAATTTAATTCACAAAGCAACTTAATCATTTTTAAATCAATTAAGTTTTAATTAAACAACTTTTATGCATATTCTAGAAAATTTTAGACTTAGTAATTTGTTGATTCTCGAATATCTGACAAATCTTGATGCCCTTTTATAATAAATATTGTAACGTTCTCTCTTTCAGTTACTGTCACCGCAGTTATGGATCAAGTCCCGGCGAGCTCCGGAGCCGGAGGGCTTCGTGGAACACTCGTCCAAGATAGAGCAGGCAGCCGAGAAGCCCTTCTTCGTACTTTGGCGACACGGCGATGTCGAGGCTGTGTACATGGACCCAGCCGAGAGCGCATCATCCGCGAACCTGAAACGCGGCTTAGCTAATCTCTTCCAATACCGAACGCTTGACGACGAAGTGCGTCAACGAGACGCTTCCGGTCTCTGCGACGTGACCTATCTCACGTCCGGAGATAGTGTTATCGAGAAACGAAAGACGGCCTGCACACATGGCACACTGCCACCATCGAAGCAACACCCGAATCCGATGTTTGCTGTTAGACTCGAGAGTTATCGTAATTCTAAGTACATGCTAACGCAATCGCTGTTGCCAGAGCGCGTGATCGACTATGAGGGACACAAAATGATCTTGGTGTCTAAGCCTGACGTCGGTACGAGTGTCGTATCGGAGAGAACGCTGGAACAGACAGTCGAGACCATCAGTGCAACGGCGGTTCATGCGAATTCTGCGAAGCAGGCTGTGGTGCTGCTTAAGCCTGAATATAAAGAGACTGACATCGAGCTCCAACCGATGCTCGCCACATGTCCTGATGCCGGATGTCCCACAGTAAATCTTTCTGCCTGTTCTATTTTACGTCTATTTTAGTATTTTCATTGTTCTCGAACGACGGGGATAGATAACGCATTAATGAAATTGTAGAGAGAACGCTTTGATGCATAAAGTTGCCAAGGCTGGACATGTATTTTAAATACAGTATTTTATTTGAAAAACAGTATTTGTAAGAAAATTATATTTTGTATTTTTTATTTCAGCGGAGCACATGAAAATATTTTGTATTTTATATTTCGTGAAAATATATAAAAGTATTTTGTATTTCACACTAAAATTGTCAATCAAACTTATTATTTGAATTAGAAAATTAATCATCTAAAAAAAACTTTTAATCTTCCTATTTTAAGTACAAAATACGTAAGACCTTCATGTGCTTCGCTAAAATACAAAATATACTTGTATTGCAAATAATATGTGTTTTACACAAAAATATTTTAAATACATTTCCCCAGCCCTGAAAGTTGCAAAAGTAAATAAATAGAAAACAACGCAGGAGATCTGCAGCGTTGTCTGCCATTTGTATCGAACACAAGAATTTCAAATTTTACTGTTGTTAAGATTAAAATAATTAGAAAAATCGGACGTTCTTTTGTAAACGTTTTCTAAAGTTTTAATATAAATTAAGAATAATTAACGGGTTACGTAATATTCGCGCACTTAATATATTAGTTTATATTAATTCTTATGAGATATTGTGTGCCTTCCAACACAAATGACACGGTGTGACACAATGGATCGTTACATCCTTGTTATTTTTGCCAATATTAAACAAAGGTGACATCACTGTGTCGCACTGTGTCGCTTGTTGAAAGGCACCCATTATATGTTACATGGTCATGATAAATAATTTCAAGAATCGAATGTTCTTTTTTGAATGTCCTCTAAAGTTTGAATATAAATTAAAAATAATTGACAAGTTATATAACATTTGCACTTAATATATTAGTTTTTACATTGATTCTGAGACATGAATGTTAATGACTCTAGATAAAAATTTGACACCATGAAAACTGCAGTGCGTTCAGTCTTTTAAATAAATATATAAATAAATATATCAGTACATTAATAATATGTACATAAATAATAAATAATATAATAGTATATAAATAATATTTTAGTACTTATATATTTCGTATTAAAACCGTAAGTCTATATCTCATTGCAGATTGATCAAGCGATCGAAGAATATTACAAAACACTTACTGCTTCCGAGCTGGGCACGGCGAAA